GTTAGGGCGGCTAGGAGCTGGAACCAACTTCCAAGGGAAGTGGTGCTGGCCCCTACCCTGGGGGTCTTTAAGAAGAGGCTGGATGCCTACCTGGCTGGACTCATTTGAGTCCCGTTTCTCTTTTTGGGGTTTTTTGTTGTTCTCCCACCCTGGCGGGGGGTCGGGCTAGAAGATCTAGGTCCCTTCCGACCCTTAATCTATGAATCTATGAATCTAAGGGCTGATGTATATAACAATTAATATATTACTATGTATAGTATATTATCAAAATATGAATAAAATGTTCCATAATAGAACACTTTTACACTAAACCAGATTTTTCTTTGCACATTTTCCTCACTAGATATAGAGTGACTAGAACAGAAATGCAATTTGCTTATTACAGTGGGGTTGAACCTTTTGGGGACACACATTCTTGCTTTGACACAAAGTTTTGCTGTATCCATATTCATTCCTTTTCTCTATTTAGCTGTTTCTTAAAATAACTCACTGATGTATAATAACCAGTTGTGGGAATGAGAGAACTACAGAGAGAATCGTCTTGTGCCCTCCTGATGTATAAACTTCCTATGTCATCTAAACCCAATGTGGTCATGGTACGAAAACAGTGGTTAAAACCCTGTTAATCTCATGACCTTTCCTCCTCTTACAGCTACTACTAGCAGTAGTGCAATAGTGGGAAATATCAAGCGAAATAATGAGAACAGAAGGAGGACTGAACTTAGGGTTTTGGGATGTTCTGTATGCCCTATTGTTAGGTAAGAGTCTAAATAATATCTTTGCTGAAATTGATGTTGATTTCTCTAGAGGTGTAATAAATAAGGTGTAATAAATAATGAAAATAAATGAGTTCTGAAAATGACTACTTTTAAAAAACACTGTATCTGTCAAATCAGTATGATTGATCTGTAATGTTATGATGCAAATAAGAAAGAACGCTATTTTTGTGATTCAGCCCATTCACAGTGGGTATGTCTACACGTGAAATGAATTTGACACAATAAGTTTGCACCAGAGTTGATTGCTCCTGGGCTCAGTGTTTACATGTGCGCTCAGGACCGCAGCACATTGAGCCAGGGCAGCGAAGCCCCAACTAGCAGGGGATCTTGGGGTGTCAGCCTGCCAGCTTGGAGCTGCTCCTGCCCAGCTCAGTGTGCTGTGAAGGGGCTGGCAGGGGCATGAGGGGGCTGCAATGTGCGGCTAGCTGGCAGGGAGCCCCCGCACTGTAATGTCCTCGTGCCCTAGCCAGTCCCAGTAAGCATCTACATATACATTGTGATGGAGTAAATAACTCCAGCATAGAATAGTACTTGTTTTGTGCAGTACTATCCTATGGTGGAGTTAATTAGTTTATTCTGATTTAATACCACTGCTTGTGTAGATGGTGGTGTTTTACTGCAGAGCTAATTAGGCAACTCCACAATAAGCGTCTTGTGTAGATACACTCAGTATCTACAGTTCAGTGGTTCATGTGAAATCGGTGGGCTTGCAGGGTTCCCCTTAGGTGAAGAAATTTGGCAGATGAAGAAGTGGCAGCAGCATTAATTGTCATGGTTCTGGGAGCTGTAGCAGTTAATACTGCCATTGTTACCCTACTGCCAACTTTCCAGACCCATAAGGAGTCCCCCTGCTGTAGTTGGTCTTGGCCATTCTAAATTGTTAATGTAAAATCGTATACACTATTTGCAGACATACTCCTGGCAGATTGAAAGTCTCCAAATGGTTTCATGGTGGGTAGGAAAGAGGGGAAATATGCTGAATTGTGCCTAATTAGAACACGGATGAATCCTTGCAATTGAGCAGTTCCACTCTGATGTCAGCAGATGTAAGGGTCTGTTCACATGGCATCAACTGTAACATCAGAGTGTGCTGTTCTTTTCCTGGCTGACCACAAAGGGCAACAACTGTTGATTGTATACAACCATACAGAGTGGACCTCAAAAGGTGCTTGAGCCTATATACAGACATTCAGAAAAATGAAGGTGGAATTGAGCTAAGTTATGCAGTTTTCTTTAAGTGGTGTAGTTTAGATTGATAGAAAACTTAACACATAGTTGCCCTTTGGTGGAGGGGTAAATCTTAGACTGGGTTCTGCCATTTACCAGTCTGCATCTGCCGAACTTCTGTTCTGTTATAGGTATAGACCAGTTTCTGATTGCTTATACCAGTAAAAGTGCAATGTCTGCTGTACCTGGCCTAAAACAGTTACAGGGTCCTCAGTTGAGCAAAGCAGTTACTTCATACTTAATCTGAGCTGTTTAGCCAAGTGGATAGGCAGATCCTTATGTCCCGCTAAGGTAAACATCAAGTTAAAGTCAATAGGTCATAAACATGTACCTAAAGGCGCACATGTGCTTTTCTAACTAGGATCAACCTATTAATCTGAACCTAGAGGTGTGCTAGAAACAGTCTATAAGGAAGAGTACCAGCTCACAACTGTGGAGTACAATGAAATTCAAATACATTTCAAGTACATTGTGTTACATTTCTAAACCAAACATATATTCTTAAAGTTGATGATTGATACAAAATAAGCAATACCTGGTTATTGCCTTGTGATGTAGAGATGGAACTCCATGAAGCCATGTGGAGTCTAGTCCTTGGGAATAGTGTCCAAGACTTGTGTTCTCTTGACCTTTGGGAGCAAATACATAGAATATCTAGAGCTGACCAAGGTCAGTGCTAATTCTGTCCATATGCTTCATTGTAAGGAGGCTGTTAAAGATGAGTGAAAACAAGAATTTCTGGTCTATATATACATAATTCAAATGTTACAATATTTGTTGTCCTGAATTGGGACAAAAAATTGAAAAACATTTTTTTCCATGGAACAAAAATTCCAAACAATTCTACCAGGAATGCCAAAATAAAAGATTCCAACATTCCCAAAACAAAATAGGCTTTTTTTTGTTTGAATCAATTTGATATTTAACCACAGCTGCAGTTATGTGTTTCCTATCATGCAATTTGATCTGAGAGGAGACTACAGTGCAATATGGAAGAACAGTCCGTAAGGTAGAGCGAGGACATAGGACACCCAAGCACTTCTATGAGGCACTGTAACATAATGAGATAAGGCAGTTTGCTTACTTCATCAAAGCAAACTATTTTAATTTGGGTCCAACAAATCTTAACATAGTTTCTGCCTTTAATTTTGTCAGATTTCTTAGGTTTCCACCAGGAAAAAATAACCCAAAAGAACTGCTGTTTTTCATTAAAATATGTTGGTGGGAAATTTTCAACAATCTCTGTGAATTGTATGGAATTTGCCCTTGTGCTCACAGCAAATGATTGTACTTCAGTGCTCCAGGAGAGTGATACAGCACCTAGTGGACCCACCAGCATGACCTCAGAAGAAAATATTTTTCCCAATCATAATGTTTCCATCTGTATATACTAGTGGACTCCCAGTTGGCAAGTAAATATGGTCAAATATTCCATTTATCCTGTGTATCATGACACTGAAACCAAAAACTGTTGGATCATTAACACAATAAAGAATGTTATAAGAACTGTAATCCTCAACTCAATCAGTTTGGATATTTTCTACATCAGTAAATTTGCATGTCTGTTGGATCTTGCATCTCACAGCTCAGCTTGCTTGCTTCTTTAAGCTTTCACTATATCCAAATGAGGTAGGTGACCAATGAGCAAATTGAGATACCGAAAAAGTAAGCGATTTCCCCAAAGTAACCAAGTGAGGTGGTATAAACAGGAAATAGAATGGCTGTTTGCACCTTGCTAACTTTTTGAATGATCCTGCCACTTAAAATTCCTCGTGCATTTCAAACTGCTGCTCTGCCACAAAATAAACCCATATGCTAGAAATGTTAACAGAAAAGATATAAATGCACCATAGTGAGCCAGATCCTCTGGCGCTATAAGTCAGTGTTACTGCACTGACAGTTGAGTTGCTGTGCCAGTTTACAGCAGCTGAAATGAAATTTCAAAATAAATCACAAAATGAATTTTTAATTTTCCACTCCTTGTAAACTGAGTGAATAGATCAAGTTGTGTGGTAAAAACAATAAAGCTGTATTCAGTTTGTATGCAGGGAATCCTTGAGAGGAGCTGGGAATGTAAAATGGGACAGAAAAGTTAAAGATGAAGAAAAGTTGGGACAGATTGCTGAAATTGATCCATTGAGCTTTTCTAACCCCTTCCATTTACAAGTAATCAGTCACATGTTTTACCACTTGTTAACACTGAAATCCCTACATTTGCTAAGTTGGAATGCAGATGAATGCTGTGTGTGTGTGTGTGTGTGTGTGTGTGTGTGTGGAGAAACATGTTTATAATTTGGGCATGAGATAACTATCTCAAGGTTTACAGCTTATAAACTCTGATTCATCCTCTTCTGTTCCTAATTTTATGTTGGTATCTTACATCAGGGGTAGTATTAAAAAAACAAAATAAAAAAAAACCCTTGACTATGTTTCTCCTCTGCCAACATTCGTAAAAAAATATCAAATTAAATATTGTGGAAAATGCAATTGGTTCAGGAGGGCATAATATGTACAGGCAGTTCTCGACTTGCATCGTTCCCACTTGCGGCAATCTGCACTTGTGGTGTGCCGCTATTTACGCCCATGTCATTACTTGCGGTGCTGGATCCTTGCACTTAGGGCATGCCATAAGTGCAAGGATCCAGCACCACATGTGATCCAGCCCACGACCCACTCTGGGACTTGTGGCTGTGGTACCTGGGTGAGCCCTGCACTGGGGGTTGGGCGGTCACTGCCAAGCTCATCTCTGCCTGCCCTGGGATCCGTGCCCGGCCGAGGAGGGGCCCAGGACCGTGTGACTGCGAAGCCACTGGGGCTGGGGTCAAGGCGCGGTGGGACGCAGTGGCGGTGGTGAGTGCCTTCAAATTTCCTGCCCTTTGTGCTGCTCACCAGATGGTGGCATCCTGCTGCAGTGCCCCACCTATCTGGCTGGGGACACGTGGTGCTCCCACAACCTCAGAAAGGGGCAAGAGCACCAGCCTGTCTCAGGGCCTGGGTGGCCCTGGGGTGCGGGAGAGCAGGGTTGGTGCCTTGCCTCCTGGCAGGGCAGCTGTGTGCGGGGCTCCCAGGCAGAGCTCTGAGCTCAACAGAGAAAGGCTTCCTCCCTTCTGCTCAGCAGTGTAAGTCAGGGGGCAGGTGCCTCATGTGGGGAGAGGCCCAGAAATAGCTGTTGCTGCAGCTGGGTGCTCCAGCCAACACTGCCCCATGTACTGCCCTGGCCCCGGCTGCCCTGCTACACCTCCATTGTGCTGGAGCTATGCTGGTTCCTACACTGGCTCCATCCCCACTGACATCCTGCCCTAGCTGGTCTCCTCTGTTTGCTCACCACTCCTGCCAACACAGGGTTATGGGGGGGTTCTGGCAGTTGCTGTCTCTTGGCCTTTCATCTCAGTGTGAGTAATTATTTATACTGTCAGAATCAACATGGTCTATAGTAAAATTGAATAGTTGATTAAATAAAATTAAATAGTTGATTTAAATATGGTGTTAAATATGGTGTTTATGGTCATTTCTATAAAAAGTTGGGCATCAGGCCCTTGGTCAGGAATGTAACCCCCTATTATAACACTGTTTCTATGGGAAAATCAGATTTGACTTGCATCATTTCAATTTACAGTGCATTATGTTCCTGAAAAGGGCGCTGTAAGTGTGAGGATAGCCTGTATTTGATTTTGAAGACACGAACATAGGAAAGTTAGTTCTGCTTTAAGCACAAATCACAATGTATCCTTAGCTCTGAAATTCCTAGGATGCCTTCATAATTATTAGCAAATTATAATCTTCATCTTTTTGTAATATTCCCATCTTTCCCATCTTTCTATTCAGTCTAATTAAATTATACAGTACATTAGCTGTTTAATGTCAGTGTATAATCACTGCAGTGACAGTTGCTGGTGATCATCCTGGGGATGCCATCTGCTAAGGTTTAGAACTGAATACCCAGTTTTGATTAGTAGATGTATTTCATACTCCACGGGAGGTCTTTCTCATCTCTCCACCTTACCTGGCCCCCCTTCCACCCAACCCCAACATCCTTTTTGATGTTGTAACCTTCTATAGCTCACAATGAGACATCCTTCATGGTTACTCCATAGTGCTAGCTTCGATACAGGAATCACAACCGATAAGAGTTCACAGCACTCTCCAGCTCTATTCCCACCCCCTGAGCAGAAAAGAGGAGTCTGAGCCAAGCTTACCATCTTGAGTTTAGCCTGAGAGTAAATATTAACAGTGACATAATCATTAATAGAGAAAGCTTAACTTTCAGTGGTTGAACTTTATGCAAACATTTGGCTCCTGGCTTTTGGATGAGCAGCAACAGCAGCATTTTCCATGTCACAATATACCACAGCATTCTGATGATCATTCGGATCAACTTTGACCATAGCATTCAAAATGGATCCCGATCCATTAGCCTCTGCTGCCTCTGATTTACCAAGCAATCTGTGACCTTGAGCTTATGCCAGAAGGCATTTTGGGGGTTACTGATTATAATCTATATTGTATATAAAATAGCTGTTTATTACATACACTATTAACATTTTATCAGCCATCCTATTTTATTACCCTTGAAAAATACTGTTGTGGTCAGTCTTAAACAAACGGTGCCACTTTCACCAGTTTTGTAGGATAAAGTGTTCTGATAAGTGACCTCAGAGAAGTTATAGTCATCCTATTGATTTGAACATGGGATTAAACCCTGTTCATATGATAGAAAACATGGGGGTTGGGTTTTTTGCATTTTTTTTTGCCAAAGACAATGAGGTGGGAGTGGAGTGAGATGTCTAAGAATAATGGTTTCTTTCTAATCTTTAATAGATTAAAGATGAATTTGCTGCATGTATTGGTTCTGATATCTTTATAGAGTACTTCTTTTCAACTCTTTGTAACACAAAACACAGCTTTTAAGAGTGGATTTTCAAAGAAGGTTAGAGTTAGATGCCCCATTCCCATGCAAGTTTAATGGGAGATGTGCAGTTAACACCCTCCCTCAGGTTCTTTGAAAATTTTAGCCACTCGGCATCTAAAGCTAAGAACACTTGCTAATATTAATATTTACTGCCCTTGACAGAACTACAGAGTCCTTATTCTGTTATTCACAAGCTGTTAACATCACGCATGTCTGAATAATTCAACTGAAATACACATAAATCAGGACAAAAATATTTAAAAAAAAAATTATTATGGATGTTTGTTTGACAGCTCACCAAAACTTGTTAAGCAGCTCTCTGGCCAAAATAATTGCCCACCCCTGCTATACATGCTCTGGTATTGGGGCACAGAACATTAATTAACTCCATTGTGACAGTGCTGTCCTACAGCAGAGTAGTTACATGTGCTGCAACATATATGTAGATT